ATAGCACGCGGCTCGGCTTGGGATGTGGTGGGTCCCGAGCAGCACCAGTTAGCTCCAACTTCTTCAAAACAAAAGTGAGGGCACTATCTTGGTTGTCTTGGGTGGAATGGTGATTTGTTGCTTTCCCGGGATGCTTTTTGTGGAGAGATGACCCTGAGGACCCCTTCTTATTGTTTCATTATACTTATACTTGTAGTTGTATATATAATTCAATAATATGTATATATATAGATAGATATCAAATATATCCTTGCACCTTGAAGCAGGACCCCTGGATTCTTTCATCGACCAGCGTCATGCCGTGCGCACCTGGAACCTCTGCACCGTCCGTGGATAGCGCGTGCTCGGAGTCCGCGGACTCTTCGGCGTCGCAGGGGACCGATGTGGCCACGGCGGCGGCGTGCTCGGTGCCGGCTTGCTGGGTGGGGTGCAAAGGCCAGCGACTGGAGTCCACAATGGCCATGGAGTGACCTGGTGGAGGGAGACGACTGGAGACCTAGGAGGGAGACCGTGTGGGTTTTGAGCTGCTCATTCTTTGGAGCGCACCTCATGCTCATTACCAGGGTATTTGTCTGCCAGAAATGTTCACCAATTCTATGATTTAGTTGATCTTGATGCACACATTACCTGGGTCTGGAATGGTCTGCGTATTGTCTTTTCCCGTGTTTCCCATGTTTGATCCAAACTTCATCAATGTCGTTCCATGTTGTGCCTGTAAGCTGGCTCTCTCAATCATGTACCCTCAAGCAACACAAACGTTGAAGGCTCACGAGAGCGCAACATGCAAAGACAATAGCCTTGTAAACTATGCGACTTGCTTTAGCCTTCCAAAGAGATTCCTCAGATAATCATAAAAGTTCTGGAAAATGGTCTTCCAGCTGGAGCCAATGATTTGGAGAGTAGCGGACCAAAACAGGCCAAGTTTCATGGGATGCATACGTATATTTCATAGATACCCACTGTTTGCACAGTTGTTTCATGGTTTCATGGTTCTGATACCCCCCCAATTCTGCCATTTTAGCGGGTCTTAAATCAATGTGTCACTCGTTCTCCTCATCTCCGGCCTCGCCATCCTTGGCACTCCCTGGACTTCCCCAGAGCTCCCGCCGCGGCGTCGCCGGCGCTGCCGCTCTCGGAGCAGCTGCATCCCGCTGTCGCTGCCGCTCCCGGCGCAGCACAGGCGGAGGCGTCTCCTCAGGCGGTGAGGCTTCAAAAGCAAATACAGAATCTGTGATTTAGAAAATGTGTTGTTTTTGCTTTAGGTGATCCAACAAGAACTATACAGTAGATTCCACACCCTGCAACAAAAATGACGGTTGCACCTGTTTGGAAGAAACACAAATCAACTGGTCTAGGAGTCTAGGAGTGTTTTCTTTCTTTCTACACCACACTTCCAAACCTTTCCTTCCACGTTCAGCGACCTCCTGGGCCAAGCATCTGGTGCAGCCTCACCACGATCGTTCCGCCGCTTCACCGGGGTGGTGGGAGTGGACGCGAGGGGACTCAGCTCTGGCTGCTTCCACCTCTTGCGCCTCGGCAAAGCAAAACGTGAGCTGGCAAATCAGCTGGTGAACAGAGATCAACAAAGTCTCTGCAAAAGTGATGGCCCGGTTCCGGTTCGGGCGGATGTTTCTGGTTGGACGCATCCGAAGGCCCGCCCGGATGTAGACTGAGGGGACAACTGCTCCAAGTCATCGAATCACCTGATTTGCTCTTTCAAAAGAATCCCACCATGTCACCCCCAACTTGGCCACCTTCGCCCGCCTCCTGGACTTCTTTGGTTCTGGGGTCGCAGGGGGCGAGCTCGCCACAGTCTCAGGGGAAATCTCCACCACGCTAGCTGCTTCCTCCACCGGGTCTTCCACTGCTGCGCCCTCTGCCACGCCCTCTGCCGCGTCCGGCGCGAGGTGGACGGGGCGGAAGAGTTCCGAGGACATCAGCGCACGCAAGAGCTTCACCACCTGGATGTCTGCCATGTTAAAATGATTTAAAATGCATGTGTCTGTCTGTGGATGATACTGATATGTTCCATCATGTTGCAGTGGTTGGAACATGTTGGAAAAGATAGTAATTCGGCGGTTGCTCGGATTGGGGGATTGCTAATCCCAGAACAAGCACTGCTGAGCAAGTGGGACAGATTACACCGAGAATCACAGCTCCAACTCCCAACGACTGCTTCATTTGAAGGGGAGAACCAGGACATGAACTGGTTCAGCAGACTGTGCTCTTGTTGTGAAAGTTGTCAAGCAAACCCAAATGATTAGGTCAAAAGTAGCTGTGACCCGCCACATGCGTGTGCTTCTTTCACGCCCACTTTGCATTGTCAACTCATCCCTCCATCAACCTACTTTCCACCACCCACGCGAGTGAATGAAAAGCATGGTGAAACATGTGCCAAGCCACTTTGTCTTGCTCTCCTTTGCACTTAGCTTCCAGCTGACACCTTGCATATCTCTGTCCTGCGGAACGATCACCAAGATCAGCAAGTGAGATAGCCGAGATGGCGAGGTTTTCCGAACTCCAACAGGTCGCATTCAACCGATTCAGCGAGGAAACCCAGAGCTCGGTGAAAGGAGTTCATGGCCAAACCCCAACCACCAATTGACATGTCCTCTGAGGCCCAGGAAACATGAGGGCAAACATGAGCTGAACTGAGTAGAACCACAAGTGAGGGCAACTAGCGAGGTTGTCAAGTCGTGATCTTCAGTCAAGCCTTGAAGCAAATGCTGAGAGGCACCTGACCAGGGGATGACCCGTGAAATCAACAAAGCATGCCTTGCTGGGACACAAAAGTATACTTTGATGCAGGATGATGCAGGCGGCGTGCTCAGGGTTCAGAAATGAAACACCAAACACATCGAAATCAAGCTGTTCATCGCTCTTTCCTCCTTTTCCCACTCCCACTCCTGGCTTCAGGTTGAGCCCCAAATGTGGATGTTGCAGCACCTCTGCACGGTCCCAGGCCGACCAACCAAAGAAGTCTGTAGAAAGGAAGAAGAAAAAAGCTGGTGGCCTCCACCCTAATAGCGATGCTAGTAGCGATGGCCTCCACCCTAGTAAAAAAGAACACTGCAAGTAGTGGCATCTATGATGCACCATGAAAGACCTCCAGACTCTGAGATATTCTGGGCGTCCTCCTTCCAGAGTCTGGAACACACATGTGCCAACCAGCGGGAAGAACACCTAAACACCATGGGAAACATATATATTTTTACCAGCTGAACACAGATATACATATTATATGTGATTTCAGTCGCTGTCCTTGAATTCCCTGGACGGTCAGACATGGTCAAACAAATGATTCTATTGTTGCTCTGGAAATGGGTTTGATGCGTCAGCGCAGGGAACAAAACTATGGCGTCGCTACCATGAGAACATCACATCACAACGCACAACGCACAACACTCCTACACGTTTTTATGTCGTCGTTCATGTGCATAAAACCAGATTACAGCCACTGCGATCTGGAACAACCTGACATGTTGTTGGTGTAAATGCTACACTGAAACACCTCGTCTTATTGTTCTTCCTTTCACCTCCCCCTGCCCAACCTCAAAGATCGCGCATTGGCAGTCCGCGCACCGCGCCGGACCGCGATGCTTCGGCGTTCCGGGGCTCGCCATGGCGGGAGAAACCGCTGATTGATCGGGCGCTGTCGAAGGGAATCTGCCTGAACGAGTAGCGTCCGATCGCTCCTAGTAGATCCTAGTAAGGCCAGGAGCCCCTAATAGCTTCTTGTTACTAGTAGTAAGGCACTTGTTCCTAGTAGCGATGCCAGGAGCCCCTAGTAGCGTCCTTGCTCCTAGTAGTAAGGAATTGAAAATGCTCCAGCTTTGAAAAAAGGTCAAGGCCTCGATGGATCCTGTCTGCGCCTGTGGCGGTTTCTTGGCAAAACCGCAAGACACCCCATAGTACCCAATGGGTCTGAAGTGTCGCATCCTGTTGTCCACTGTCGTCCAGAAGGAGTTGTCTCAGTTCCAAAGGAGTTTTTCTCTCACTCACTGAGACACTAAGTGTTGACTAAGTGTCACTTGGCTGCGCTGCTATGACAACGAGTTGCGGCTTACTTTCTGGTTAGGCGCGGGCAATGCAGAATGGTCACATATTACCATGTAGTCCTGAAAGGGAATGAACATGAGACTTGGCTAAACAATGGTGGCCTCAACATGAAGTAGCTCATCAAATCTTTGACCAAAGGAAAGTGTTTTGGCCAATGAATGTCGAATGTCTCCTCATTTGGCTTCTCGGTAGCAACTGTTAGCCTTCCCAAACCACTGAGGACCCTCTGAAACTCAGTTGCTGGAACCTTCCCAGAAGTTGCAGCAATCGGCCGGTCACAAAATGTCACAAGCAATCGGCCCCTGCTGCATGAAACCCCATTGAAATCATTGAAAACCTCAAATGTACCAATCAACCCACTTTTGGTGGTGGTGTGTGTGTGTGTGTGCGCGCCACCAATAACTCTTGGTGCACTGGGCGGGGTGCTGTCAACGAAAAATGACCGGTGATGGCTCCTCTAGCTAGTTGATTGCAGTTGTGTAGGTGGCGTACACAAAACTCGCCTGTCCGGTCGAGCAAGCCAACTTTGAGATCCAAATGGACATCTGTGGAGCTCATCTCCCACTCCCACAAACACATCACATGGTGACCGGTGGACAAACCCTTGTTTGTAGAGGAACATAGTCTGTCAGATTGCCATGCCAACCACTTCCCTATGAGTGGGAGCGTAAGCAAATACTTCAAGGAGATTAACCGGACAAAAATTGGTATCCTCAAATTATGATATAAGTATTATATAGAGATGTCTCCTTGTTTGAGTGGTGCACGCTGCATCTCAAACACGACGTATGCTACCCTCCAGCTCTCAAGATTTTATGGGTCAAACCAACCAGTGCAACAAACAAGCACAGAACCCAATTAAAACACTGTTTGAAGGTGCCAAGCAGTGCAGGCAACATCCTGCTATTGCTCCAAGCATCATCTTTTTTGAATGTTCGCCGTCATCCATCCACACATGCCACAGCACCACACTGCTGGGTCTTCCCTGCCTTGCGAAAGCACTCGTCGAAGTCATCTCCCCAAAATCCACAGGTGTCTTCATCTGCCCAGTCACGACCGTCGATGCCTCACCAGTTGCAACAACTCTTGCATCAAAAGCGTGGGTGTGTGCATTTGGCATCAAAAGCACCTTGTCCTGCCTGGAAAAACTTGGTTCGGCCAATCTAATTGGGTTTTCCCTGTCCCATGAGTGGTCCTGGCATCTCCAACGATGGCTCTGGGTCAAATCAGCACATGGCGAGTTGCTGCTTTAGCCTCCACGTCTCCTTGTTTTCACCCAAAAACACCAAGTTCCACTCAGTAAAATTGTCTCCTCTAGACCCAAAAAGGCTCTTCCAAAACTGCACATCTTCCATCCTCTTCCCATTCCCCCACACCTCTGGAACCAAGGTACATGGATACACCAAAGCCTGCGCTTCCAACGGCCGTGTCGCTTGGGAGGTGCGAAGGCCCACGGAGGCCACCAAGTGGCCCCCAGCGCTGAAGCCCAGAGCGCACACGGGGCCTACCGAGAAGCCCATCGGCTGAGGAACACGTCACGAGGAGGTCGCAAGTCTGGCCATCTGGCCAGTTTTGTGCTTGGAGGGATGTGAAAGAAGACTCCCATCATCCCTCCAAACATCGCCCATGATATCGCCTTTTCCCAGCCAGAATCGATGTGGACACGCCGAATCGATCGATCACGCGAAAGGAAAATCACGAAAATCGCCTCGAAAGGTTTGTCTCAGCAGCTGCGCAGCTACCTCCAAATCCTCCGGCCGTTGACTGAGCTGTTTGAGATACACCAGAGAACTCAAAGAGATCAACGGAGATCAATGCAGGGATCATCAGGGATCAAATACTGTGAATGAGTTTGATTTGGTGCTTGGGCTCACTCCTGCAAAGTGTGAAGAAGATTTCCTGCAGTTCCTTTGGCTCCGGGAATGGGGATATGTGGAGCGCCAAAGACGTTTGCTCTGAACCATCTACACAGCACTAGGCGACGGCTGGCTAGTGCTGGTTTCTTGGATGAATTCATGCGGCTTGTTCCCTCAGTCACCACTATAAGTGTGATCGCTCCGACGGGAGCAATAGAATATACAGTAAGAGGATGGAATGGGAAGTCATTCCTGGCAGGCAAAAGATTCGCACAAACTGGGCAGGTCGCCAAGCTGGTGGCCCTAGTATATATATATATATATAGACCATGAGTTGGCATCCCAAAAAGACATTTCGGGTGACCTTCCCCCAGAGGTGTCTTCACCGATTCTTGTGGCCCAGCCAGTCCCTCAGTTTGAATGGACGATGAGACGCACCAGGACCTTCCATTTGGGGAACCAATTTCCACCGGACTGAGGATGACTGAAGGACTGAAGGACGGCATCCCTTTGGGTCGAAGAAAGGCAGAACCCTTCGAAGAATCGTGCCCCATGGGGCGGTGATGTAGTTGCAGCCGGCCAAGAAGGATGTGTGGTTCCGTTGTAGCATTACTCAAACAGCCACATGATCTGTATATTCAATATTCATGTGTTGGAGTACCAAGTTGGAATCTGCCTCCCGACAGTCGCTGCAAGAGTGCTGTCGGGCGTCCTGCTGCATGTCTTCAAAGTCGTACTTCGGCAGCAGCCGGTAGCGAAGCACATAGGCGCGGAAGCCCTGCACGACCGGTGAGTTTAGAGCGGTCTAGTCCAGTCGTGGGCGACATGTCAGGAAATTGAAAATGGACACCGCTCATGAGCCCTTGAGCAGTTGGACTTTGCAATTTGTGATCTTCCACCCGCATGAAAGGGAACGTCGATTGGAAGCACCCAACATGCACTGATGCATATTGATTCTTATTGGGGAACCGCATGGAGCAGTTATATTTACGGTTTCGAGATGGTCAAACCAGGCACGGCTCCCGCTTGAGGGAATGAGTTGTGCGGGTTCCCCGGAACTCGAGGTTGATGTCTTCGGTGTGCATGTCTTGTGTTGGCATGAGGTATAGCTACCTTTGAACCGTGAAGAAACATTGCCAACCTGACTGGGTTCGAACCATAGGCAATAATTGCACACTCTTCTGCCTCCAATACTGGTACAGCCAGCTCTTCATGCATCTCCCTTTGAGATTTTTACGTCGGCGTTACACGAAAACTTGCGGCACTGTCCCAATGCTTCCTGCGCAGCACCTAGTGGAAAGACCGGCCCCTAGTGGTTGATAGATGAGTCACATAGCATTGTGTGTAAAAAACACATTTACTGACTACCACTATCAGTTTCCGAACGCCAACATAAGATCAAAATAGAACTAACAGCAGTGCCCAGACCTTCTGCGCGAAATACTCCGCAACCGGCGGTCCCTCGTGAGGCACCAAGAACCTCAACTGCTTGCCCCGCCCGGTCCAAACCGTTTTCTTGCAGAGGCATGGTTTCCTGTTGGGAGGACCGGCTTGGTGAAGGTTTCAGGGATTTTCACCAGAAGGAGGGCCTGCCTAGGGGCATCGTGGCTGCATGTGGATCTCTTGAAGATGATAAGTAACTGAAGTAACTGTTGCTAAATGCAATGGTCAGGTTTTGACTATCCCACTGTGAAAAACAACACATCACAAGTCCAAAAACGCTGATTGTGGTTTACAAGTTGACAAACCGGTTTTGTCAGTTCTGGGCAAATCTCCGAAATCATCACGGGAAGGCATGGTCCACCAGCCAAAGAAGTAGAATAAGTACTGTACTATAGGCACAAAATGTGTATACACACAAGATTACTCCTTTTTGTTTTGTACAAAAACTGCTTTGAGTAGCCAAGGCCTGTAAGAACTTTGAAGCACTGCCAACCTGCGAACGTTTTGCCTACCAAGTTGCTGCTGTAGCGCATCGCTACTAGTAGCTTCTTGTTTATAGTAGTAATGCCCTTGTTACTAGTAGCGATGCCCTTGTTACCAGTAGCTTCTTGCTTCCAAGTTGCTGGTAGTTCCCACCCGGGCAAATGATGATGCTCCCAGCCGTCGCCCGATGGTCGGGCGTCGTTGTTGAGGGCAGCAAGCGAGGGGTGTTCGGGCCGAAGAAAAGAGGATCCAACCTGGCCAGCACTTTGGGAGTTGTACTTTGGCTGACGATACATATGTCCATCACACTTCATCACCGAATTCTGTGCCATCACGAATTATCAATTATGCATGGTGGCTACTTGATGACAAGGGCATTGATACTAGTAGCAAGAAGCTACTAGGTGGAGGCCATCGCTATTAGAGTGGAGGCCATTACTACTAGTAACAAGAAGCTACTAGGTGGAGGCCATCGCTATGAGGTTGGAGGCCATTACTACTAGTAACAAGAAGCTACTGGGTGGAGACCATTGCAATTAGGTTGGAGGCCATTACTACTAGTAACAGGAAGCTACTAGGTGGAGGCCATCGCTATTAGGTTGGAGGCCATTACTAGTAGTAACAAGAAGCTACTAGGTGGAGGCCATCGCTATTAGGTTGGAGGCCATTACTAGTAGTAACAAGAAGCTACTAGTAACAAAGGCATTATGCCGACCACACTACTGAGCTTTTTCCAGGGTGCCGGATCTTCGGCAGCCGCGGGCGCTTCGCACAAGTGGAGCAGACCAGCCACCACGAGCCTTGGTTAAACTGCCTGGTGGGCCTCATACTCACATAGGGCATCTAGAAAGCGGGGCATCTATATTCTACATTATAGTGCCATATAGTGCATGTATATTTATGTAGACGCACTAGCAAGAGCGTCTGCCAGCGCGCCGTTTTCACCTAAGGCGCAGCACGAAATGGCTTCCGGCCTTGATCCAAGCGAACATGAACAACCATGTTCCTCCGCCTGCCCAACACCGAAGAGCAAACTCAACTTTCACAGTTCATCCCCTTCTCTTGTGGCATTTGAGGGGTTGGGCAACGGCTGAACACGGTCACGAGTAAAGCAACAGGCTCCTCAAGCATCGATCGAGGATTCTGGAGCTCTCGCATGTCGACAGAGTCTTCCAACTGTCGCCAAATCACACTATGTTCGCTGTCAAAGCGGGCAAAAGTGGAACGAAACGCATGTGTCGTTCTTGAACAGCGTGGCTCTGGGGTCCTGTACGAACGAGCCTGACGGCACACGTTGACGGCCAAATCTTCATTCAAAACATGCCAACCTGAGCTCTGTGAGAGCTTCATCACATGGCCAAACAACGGGGAGGAGCTTTCAAAAGGGACTCCCATGTCACTTCTCACCAACCTTCCGGTCTGTTGTGAGTTAGCCATGGGCTTCTTACTTTTGGACGTCTGTTTGACGTACTGGGAGGAAAACTGTACACACCACTTGCAATCTTTCAGGATCTTGTGAAGGTGCTGAGGGTCAAGCTCCTTAGTGCCGCAGTCTACGATCATGTTCTCTGTTGCTGTCCAACGCATGCTCGTGTTGCATCGAGCCAGCATTGAACGAATCCAGCTTATGGTGAAAGCTAAACTCTTTTGGCTGCCATAGCTCGGCGTTTCTGAGCAGGATTTGTCGAATGCATCCTTGGCGTCGGTGACAACCAACAGGGGCACGGAATCCGTGCTAAGGTCAAAGGGCTTCCGGTCGAGTGGATGACCGAAAGCTTCGCCAAGCACGCCGCGGCAATATTGTCCGGCATCCAGCGCCTCCTCAATGCCCAGCAACTCTGCGGCAAATGTCGATCTGCATACCCGGTTCAGTCGATGAGACCGGGCGTCCAACACTGTGAACTTGCCTTCTCTGCCGCTCATGAGGTTTTCGTCAGCAATGAGGACAAAGTAGGCGGCTTGACTATAGACCTTCTTGATGGCCGCTTCGTGGGAACTACCGCTTTTCGTCACATTGCCAAGCGAGGCATCAGAAACAACGAGGATCCCAGCATTCTTCATGTCCAAGGGCTTGAAGTGCAGAGCGAAGTCTGCGTGGAGCTTTGCCTTTCTAACTAAGGCGTTGGCGCGGATCAACGTCTCGATGGTCTGGGAAGCACCCTGCAATGTCGACAACTGAAATTGCAAGTCAAAGCGAACTTGCGCTACCAGCCACTGCAAACTCCCAAGGAGAGCTCTGAGCTGGCGTTGTTCCCCAGGCATCAAAGTAGCTTCTGGATTCTTCTTTCGAAGTGGGTTGATGCGCACCTGCTGAAGATTGCTATGGTACTCTTCCATGGAAACTTTCACTGAAAAATCTTCAGCTTGCTCAATCTTCTTTCCACAATAGGTTATGGTTCCGGTGGAGGTGGAACCAAACCCAAGTTCGGCACCCAGCAATTGCAAGGTGTGGTGCGCACGAGGGCCTCCGGCCAGTAGCAAGTCATCCACGTGGGAGATGAGGATGCCTTCCAGTTTGGAACCTTCCCACAGGAACCACATGGCCGAATCCAGAGCTGAAAGTTGCCAACCATGGTGTTGTACTGACTTGCATAACCTCTTATACCAACGACGAGGGCTGTCAGCTAAGCCAAATACTCCCTTTTTCACACGACATAAGCCTGCTTCAGAGAATGGTAGGCGTGGCTCATCAGGTGCTCTGGTCTTCACGTTGGCGAGGTAGAGGATGCGTTCATTGGGGCCAAACTCTTCACCTTTCATGAATGCCGACTTGATGTCAGCACTTGCCAGCTTCCACTTCATACTGGCGGCAAAGGTCAGCAAAAGATGCTGAGAAGTTCTCGACGCTGTTGGAGCATCACAGCGAAGGCCATATGCACTAATGTCTTGGTATCCGGGGACGACCAGCCTGGCGTTAGCCTTGAGTGGAAGGTCCCGGTCTGCCGTCCTCAGTCCGTCATTCTTGTCCACATAGACGAAGCGAGGAACCAAGATGCGGTGGCTTTCACCTTCTGTCTTCAACTTCTGCCTAATGCGGGCAGCTTCGGCATCTGGAAGAGGTTCGATGGCTTCATTTTCAACCCATACCCAATAGACCAGGTTAGACTATTTTTTGTCTAAGATCTATTTTGTCAAAAAATTGTCTATTAGATAACTTTTTTGTTGCCTAAGACAACATGATTTTTGGCTAAGACAACTTTTCAAAATTTGTCTAAGTCTATTTTGAAGAAACAGTCTTAGACTATTTTTGGCCGTGTCTGAGACAATTTTTTTGTCTCAGACAAATCAATACTTCCTCAAAACTGCCACAGGCACTGAGGAAGTTTACTTGCAGTTTCATCATAGGCATGAGGAAGTTTATGTTACAAAATTTGCATATTATTGCAGTTTCAGTCCATGTGCATGACAAACTTCCACACTTGCAGGTTGAAACTGCCTACAAACTTCCATCAAACTACCTCCAAACTGCCACAAAAAGAAAGGAAGTTTGAAGGAAGTTTTGAAAAACAGACGAGGTAGTTTCGAGGAAATTTCCTTGAAATTTCCTCGTTTGCAGCCGCGAAAATTTGTCTAAGACAGCAGATTTTTGTCTATTAGACAACTTTTGTTTTGTCTATTAGATAACTTTTCGTCACATAAAGTTGTCTAAGACAAATCACCAAAATTTATCTAATAGACAAATTTTAAGAAATTGTCTATTAGACAATTTTTTGTCTAACCTCGTCTATTGGGTACTGACCATCCTTTGGCTGCTGCTTCACGGAACTCCTTTTTCTCAAAGTCCGACATGTGACTCCATACATGCTCCTTACGAGCAGTGAGCACTGCAAGCACTTCCTGAGCAGCATCATCATTGCCAAGGGGCCAAAGTTGCTTCAGCATTTGCCGTCGTTTGAATTCTGTCCTCGAGGGGAGAGGCCAATTGCCACGCCATGTCCCATGGTCTCGGACTCTGGCTTCCAAGGGATTCAGACGATCCTGTTCCGCCATGATCTGGATCTGACGGAGCGGATGCACATTGGCATAGGCTTCCATTTCCATCACTTCATGAGTCACTCTCAGGGCTTCGGAAGCTTCATCAGGAACTTCATCTGGAGGTTGAACCGGAGTTGGAGCAACAGGGTCTGGTTGAAGAGCTTCTTCACGCAAGCGCTCAGCATCCAGTTCAGCAGGCCTCTTGGAAGCTTGTGACTCGCCGCTAGCACTTGGGGCGGCACTGGAAACGCTCTGCCGTCTCTGTTCAAAGGCAGCTCGTACAGCTTCAGGAAATGGAGATGTACCTAAGTCTGGCAAAGAAGAAGTATGCCGAGACCATCCTCTTGAGATAGGACCACCTTGAGCATTGCCGAGGGCTTGCACAAACTCTTGAGGATGTAAAGGTGGTAGATCGGGAGGAGCTTCTTCAGGTACGGCCGAAAGAGGAACAGGTTCAACAGGTAGAGACACTCCCGTCATCGGTCCACCCTGTGCTTCGGGTTCAGCCGAGGTGGTTGTAGATGAGGAGGTCGTTGGTATCTGTCGATCATGGTATGCCGCATCGATGACTTCCTGAATGGCATCTTGCCATACCTCACTCGCAACTTGTTCCAGGGAGCTGGCTGGTCTCAAATGCTCAATAGCGCACTTGGTCAGTTGTCCTCTGAAACTCACATATCCATTCACATTGCCCTCCAAAGCGACGAGGAGGGCAGGGCCATGCCATCGCTTGAGACTGAGGCGTTTCTTGGATGCAGCTGTTCGGTTGTTGAACCGAGTTTGTCTGAAGAAGTAGACGATATCTCCAGGAGATAGGCCATGTTCTGCAGTCGGTCCTCGAGAACGGGCTAGTTCAGCTCGTCGGAGGCCTTTAGAAAAATGAAGGCGCACCATCGCCAACCGAGCAGTCTCTCGCATGGCAACTTGTCTGGCCAAACTCGGCCGGGAGTCGATGAGTCCATGCTCACTCAAGCGGCGACCAAAATCACCAAGGCAATCTCCGTGCATCCGGGGTTGCTTTCCAAAGGCAGCTTGCATAGGAGAGACACCAGCGTCGTTGATGTCCGAGTTGTAGGCGCTTACTGCCTCCTGGAGACAAAGTTCAACATCATCTTTTCCCAAGGCCGAATGAGCCTTGATGCACGAACGAAGAATGCCCTTTAGGATAGCGCCACCGCGCTCACATACACCATTCTGCCAAGGGGCTTGGACCGCGGTGTGGTGGAGGTAGATGCTCCATGAACTGCAGAACTCTTCAAACTCAGCAGACACGAACTCTTTGCCCTGATCTGCTATCAGGACTCTTGGTGCTCCCAAGATGGGTAGCCACCTGGTCTTGAAGAAGCGCTCCACCATGCTCGAACCTTTTGTTTCCAAAACTTCAGCAAACTGCAGCCTGGAGACATAGTCAATGGCATGGATCACATAGAAGCGCTTTTCGCCAATGTCTTCAATCTCAAAGAGGTCCACATGGACCTGGTCGCCCACATCCTTGGGTAGTGGCAAGGTAGCAGGCCGTCTGGCCTTTGGGATCTTCCGCTCGTCGCAAATTGAGCATTTGAGGTGACGAGCAGCATGGATGATGTCCGGAGGGGCACCAGTGATAGCCAGTGCTCTGGCTAGGCGACGGCCAGATCGGTGGCCCGTGTTTTCATGTAGGCGTCGAAGAGCTTGCTTCACAGCAGCTGACACCTTGGGTCCAGTGACAGCTTCAGTGGACTCCTGATCAGAGTCACTCAGGTTCATGTCAATCGGCAGGGCGGTCTCATCTTCAGCCTCCTCACCGTCTTCGATGGCAAGGATGTTGTGTGGTCTTTTGAAGTCA